TATTTGTTGGTAGTTTATGTTAGAACTTTGTCAAGTTATGTTAATTTCTTTATATTTAAAGGAAATATTTAGTTGAGAGCAGGCTGTCTGTTTAGTGTTTATTAGTTGATTGCTTTGGTAGTGTTTTTGGTTTACCCCTTGTGTGTGTTATTGGTTTGGCCAGCCAGTATATATGTTCTCCTGTGTGTGTCATTTGCTAGGTCAGTTGGTTTTGTTGAGACGGTTCAGTTTGCTGTATTTTGAGTTTCCTTATCTTTTGTTGACCTCTTTTAGGGCCCAATTTATCTGATGTTAATTTTGTATTTTTCTTGCTTTTGGGTTAATAAAAACCCTTTATTTTGAACTTTGGAAGCTGTGTCTTTTTGCCTTACTGCTTGGTCCCTGACAAGCCAAACTCTAAATCTGTTACAACTCAACAATATACAAAACTATTACAATCCCAAAATACAGCCAGGAGAGGACCACGACACCTTTCTAAGGTTAATTTTAATGTACTGTACAATTAAAAAGAACTAACACACGCATACAGGTGTTAATACTGTTTATAAATACTTTATGGGATCCCATCACTTTTTTGTTAATTTGTTCAGAAATGAATTCATTTAATCTGTGGATTACATTGGAAACCAGCTGCTGACTAGCAACGTCTAATGATGTTAATGCACAACCCACTGTCATGCTGATTATACACTCATGCCAGTGCTGCTTTCATTTGTAGCACCCCCACCACCCCAACATCTTCTTAAAGGCCCCTTTTGCACTATATTATTTCTGTCCCAGATGAGAGTTGATATTCATGAAAGAAACATGGTGACATTGATGTTGCTGATCAAAAATGGTGGCGTCCTATCTGCAGCCAATGTAGACCCATGGACCAAAGGGGGAATCAAAATCCTGCCAGTGTCAGAAAATTAAGATCCAAACATAAAATTATGCACCATACCCTGGCATGCTATGCTGCTGCTAAGGAATTCATTTTCTGCTCTCGTCTCCTCTTTTGAGGTGCCAGTGCCAGTGTTATCACCATCAGAAGTACAAATGTGCTTAGTTTAAATTAAACAGGACCAGTGTACATGTGTTAAAGATCTGCTATTGTCTTGTGCCCTTGCTGCCCTCAGCTACAGCTCTGCCATCTCTTCTATCTTTCTCACCCCTACAGACTAGCTACCCAGCACTCAGGGGTCATTGGTCAAGCTTACACAATAAGACAATGGCTAGACAAATTCGTAGTGGTGTCTGTGTGTAACACTATAGAGAATATACACATGATTGAATTTTTCCTAGAGTCTTCAATCTGCCAATTTCAAAGCAGTGCATATTCGCAGTGAGTCTTCAATCTGCCAATTTCAAAGCACTGCATATTCTCCATGAAGCAGTTTCTGTTGAAGAATTATAATATACTTCAGAGGCACAAATTCTTCACACTTGTTCATTTGGCAAAGCTTTATCAGCAGCAGACAACCATGTTCATTTACATAAATCAATAACAATCTCAAGGCAAAAATGTGGTTTAGAGTGTGAAAAGGATTTTATTTGGTACTTCAGAATGAATGGATGTGTAATAGGGTGTGTCACCTTGTATTGTTCATGCATATTGACTTACACACACAAGGATGAGAATAAAGTCATTCTTAAGATAAGAAACAAAAGAGGGGAATAAAAAAGATGCTTATTGAAGAAAGTAAGGAGAAGTGGCAAGAATGTGCTGCAGTGGTCCTGCATTACAATTGATTGGCTGGTTTAACCGTCAGTGCTGCTCACTCAGGCTTTAAATAGGTGGATAAAACCCTCTTTTACCAAGCACTCTTCTGTTTTCCTCCCAACACTCCTCCCCCTCTTCATCCTGTCATTTTCTCCTCTTCATTTCTTTACACTTCTTGCTATATTCATATCCTCTGTCCTCTTCTTCACTCCCTTCTCCACTCTTCTCCTCTTTTGTCTCTTTCTCACCTCTTCTCTTTTCACATCTCATTTTATCTCCTTTCCTTCGTCTCTTCTTTCCTCCCTTCTATGTGCCTCTCCCTTTCTTTTTTCTTCTCCTCTCCTCTTTCAATTCTTCATCTTCATCTTTTTTTTTCTCATCTCCTTTCATTTCTTTTCCTCTCCTTTCCTCTCTGTCATCTTTCTTGTCTTCACCTCTCCTCTTTTATCCTCTCTTTTCCTTTTCCTCTCCTCACATGTGTTCTTTCCTCTGGTCTCCTTCCTTTTTCTCTTCTCTTTGCCTCTCATCTACCATAAACATTCAAATCACAGGATCTGAAAACGATTTCAGATTCAGAGCATCACAGTTTCTCCAAATTAACCGTTTTACTGTTTATGAGGAAGTTTTATCTGTGTTATTACCTATATGTGATTATTTCTGTATGTATGTGTGTAGGTGGATAGAAGGACTCGCACATTTGTGTATGCATGTGTGTCTGTTTTCCGATTTGTCAGAGTGAGGAGGTCAAGCACTAATCCTAAATTGTCCTCCAATCCTCTGTTAACCAGATACCATCCTCCTCTTTCCCCTGATCCTTCCTCTCTCCCTCTCTGCTCTTGTCCTTTCATCTCTCATTTCCTTGTGGTGATAAAGTCATTTGAAGCGAAGTGAAATAAGATAGGTTTCCTCCAGCACTGATAGATGGAGGTGGCAGGCTCAACTAAGAAGGTGATGGAAACACACTGCAGAGTCAACAGCTATCAAGAGGAAGGCTGACACACCATCGCTCTGCATTCTGGAGAATATGAGAGGGCACACTGGCTTGTAAATGTGGTTTTGCATTTGTGTATGTGTTTTACAAACTGTAAAGAAACAAGTGTGCTGCTCAGTTGTGACAGATGTGCGCAGCGTACTATGAATCACATCCCTTGAGACTATCTAAGCCTCCCTGTCTTTATTGTGTTTGTTCTTATATCTCAAAGATAAAGAAAACTCTCCTATATCCTTTGATAGCTCCAGATATGTTTACTGTTTCGCAGGTTTACAGCTGATATGTGTAGCTGTTCATTCATTCTTATAGATGTGTGACGATTACAGTGTTACCATGAGCAGAGAAAAAAAAACAGCCTCATGTCTGACTTTCTGGCTGATTTCATGCTGATAAACCAGCATGTAAACAGCAGTCCAGTATGTGATCAGGTCAAAAACTGGCTGATGTTTGCATCAGCTGTGGCTCGAACACAACCCATTAGGTCCCTAATGGAGACAAGGCCATTCTTGTGCTATGAAGTTAACAGCCACATGTTAATGACTTGAACATAATGCAGGTCTTTGATCCATACTCTCTGTACTCAGTCTTAGAGAGCCCATGGCACACTCATTTTGCTCATTTCCAGCCATTCAGTGTTTAATCTTTGGTACCTCTAGATTAGCTTCGCACCCATCATAACTCCAAATAGCCTGTAATTATTTCAGAATGATAAAACAAGAGAGCCTCTTCTTAAAAACGAGAGGATAGTTTGTGAACGTGCACTGTTGCCGGTGTTGTGTCGAAAGTGAACAGCACAACAAACTGCAACTTCTCCAGCCTTACAACAATTCTCTCTAATCTTACAGAAACAACACATTAATGGAAATTCAACTTTTTTTTTCTTTTTTTTTTTACTTATCGTTTAGTCCCACCGAGTAGTGGAATTATCACTCCCTTTCAAGTAGCTCCAAGGTCAGTAAATCCAACCAGTGGTTGCTGCGTCTTCCCCAACATGACCACATCCATTCCCAAAGGAGTGAAATTAATTCCAACAGGTAGTGTAGCACCAACAGTAACATCATGGATCATTAATCTGCATGTTAACCAACAACACATCGCATGTAGCAGACACACTGGCCTCAAAAGTCAAAACAGATAGGTACTGTGTTCTGGGGGAATCCAGCATTGATCAGCTGATTATTCAGCGCCGCTGGGGGCCTTCACAGGCCGGCTGCTTGTAGGTTAGGTTAGGTCAGACAGTGAGTCCCTGTACAGGAGCATTCCCGAACATGCAGTAACCTCAGGCCCTGTATTTTTCACCACATGCTCTGGTCACAGTGCAGGCACTTTTTTTTTTTAAGCTTTACTGAAAACATACATAACAAACAAGGCAAAATAACATTTTGCCGGAAAAAGTCTTGCAAGCGCGAGTTTATGAGATGTGTATAAACCAAGTTGTTTCTGCATAGAAATACTAGAACATATGTACTCCTCATTCTTTGAGCTTTAGGTCACGTCCAAGATGAGAATTCACCGTCGTAACATTGTAGATATGTCAAAAAACAAGGGAAAGCATGACATGGCCCCTTTAATTAATATGGCATTTTAAATTATTTTAGCCCATTCACTGTGATGACATGGTCACTGTGCTCTGTTTTTGAACTGATTATATTAACTTTATGTTTTTAGTTTTGTTCATTCTAAGTTTTTTATCCATATATGTTACAGTCTGTATTTTGACAGGGCCATGACCAGCAACCCATTCTACTGTCAGACGTGGCCACGTCGCTCACTTCATTTGTGCTAAAAGCTCTCTTTTACTGCTGCTCTGTCTTTTTCACCTCTCTACCTGGTTCTTTTCTTTTCTTTTGTCTGTCAGGTAAAAGTGGGTTTTTGCTGTTAGGCTAGTGTGAAATGACACAACGCTCAGAGTCAATGAGCTGCTGTGATCTTTTGTCACCTTGGACAGCAGCCAGCTGTGCCTGACTGCTGCAACGGTAATGTCACTGTGGAGATTGATTTGGAAGAAGATGGGGCTGACGCTCAGAGAGAATAGTCCTCGTTAAGCAGCTCACACTGCGGAAAACTCGACGTTTACTTCATACCTCTTACCATTTTTTTCTCTGGCTCCAACAAACCCCATCTATTATTTTCTGCCTGCTTTAGTTCAGAATATGCCAGCTGGAAAGCCAGAAGAACATTTTGATGTTTTGCTGCATCAGCTTTCAACTTCAACACTACATTGTGCTTATTCTCCTGCTCTGCATGTTTTCACTAACTTATTTTCACAGTTCAGAGATGAAGTTTGCCCTTGCTCTCTCCCTGCAGGCCCAGACGCCACAAAGGATCCCTGTTTGAAAGTGCGCTGCCCTCCTCACAAGGTGTGTGTCAGCCATGACTACCAGACAGCCATCTGTACCAATCACAAGCAGCCAGCTCACAGGTAACAGTGATGTGACAACCCCCAGTTTTGTTAGCATTGCCTTTGTTTTTTGAGGGGATAAACAGAGCCCCAAACACAACATTAGGGTTAACTCAACATCAGAACAGTGGCTCTCCTTAAAATGGACTTATTAAGTTGAGGTATACGCTGGTAACTCAGAATGACTATGCTGAACTTTAATATGACCCTCAGGGCAGATTAGACAAATCGCACCCAGCAGAGGCATGAAAATAAAGTAGCATTTTGTGTTTTGTGTGTTAGCTGTGCGTAAGAATCCAGTCCGTTTCAGTGACAGACATATAGATAGAGTACATATTTTCACCACCAGTTCATTTGAATCAAACTATGTGCTTTCTCTGTGGATTCTGTCAACGCACGGTTTGTTTGTGTTTCCAACTTTGTCGTGTTGCCAGTTTTAAGGTTTTTCAATTTTTCAGTTCAAGAAGCATTGCACCCAGAAGACATCTGAATGTGGTCTCTCTCTGTCTTGAGTTTAATTGATCTCCTCAAGTCATTAGTTCCCAAGATACTCAGTTTTAATATTTTTTCTTTGTATTGCATTAATTACAAGTCCTGTTTTTCATTTTTGCTGCTTATTATGTCAAATTATTCCCCTTAAAATTTGTATGTCCCCAAAAGAATTGTTCACTGAAGCTCTGGACCATGATATTGTTTTATCTACATGACTTAATTTAGTTGCAGTAATTAGCATAACAAAGAATCATTGCCCTCTCAGAGGGCAAATCCAAACTCTGTTACTCTCAGCATTTTCACAAACAGATGTAGAGCAAGCCGGCAGCCAAACATTATCACTGTCTTGGTGCAGCATGCACTCTTTGTTTAGGAGGTGATTCAGCATTGTTATTCATTAGATTTACCTTCTTGAAGATGCCCTGTACACTCCGCAGTATTGCTGCAGTGTTTTATCAAAATCCACAAGCAAATACATTTTGATCTTTAAGCAGCTGTCAACAGAGAAATCCCAAGCAGTTTACTATTGAAACTGAAATAATTCAGCACAGATTTGAGTTCCCTTATTGGGTGATAATGTTTGGCTGCCGGCTTGGACATCTACATTAGCAGCAAGCTATAATTTAGAAACCATTATTGAGGCTCGCGGCCTTAATTTGTTGTGCACCTTTGTCCTGCTGTGAGGAGTGTGTAGTACCGTCAAATTAGAGCCTTTCCAGATTAGAGCAACATGGAGGCTCTCAGCAAGGGGCTGAAGTATGGTGGTATATAAGGGAGAGAGAAAGAGAAAATTCTTTCCTGTTTCTGTCTTAGGTTAATGTGTCTACAGGTACTTCCACCCTTCTCCCAGCAGCTGTCTCTCTGTGTGAATAGATGCCACATATACACATTTCCCCCACCCTTCAAATCACAGCAATTACTTGAACATGTTCTTGTGCTTCACTGCATTTGTGCAAAGAGTACTTGCTCAAAGACGATGAGAAGCATTGGATTTGAGTGGGAGATAACAGAGGGGAAGCATCTCAGACAGTGTTTATCAACCTACAAATCCCATCTTAGCTCTGTCTTGCCTGAACTGCCAGCACTGTTTTGTTTATCAGTGCAGTGTGCATGTCTAATATGCCATGGCAATGACTGTGGCTCAGTCGGTGAGTGTGTCATTTCTAAGAGGAAGAAAGAAAGCAGCCAACACACTGCCTGGGATTTGAATATTGTACATTTACAGAGCATAAATGTTTCCCAGGGGATTCACTAACGTGCTTTTACTTCATCATCATGGTTTACTGCTTTTCCTGTTTCAGGCTTTTATTTTGATACACTTCCACTTTTGTTGTGTCTTGTTTCCAGCTTTACCACACTCATTGGCTGCTCTGATTACACTCATCCGTCTCCTACTGTATCTGCAATCAGTGGCTTTGTATTTAAGCCGGTTGTTCATTTTCACTAGTGCCATATTGTCTTGTGAGAGAAGCTCATAGTGTGACTCTCTTGCATCTTGCGCCAGCATTCATGTTTCTCCCGTTTATGCTCCATGCTGCTGGACTGGAGAGCCTTGTTTATTTTTATTTTTTTTTGCACTTACTTATTAGTCCTAAGAATATTATTATAGAGCCTTAGTTTCTCCATGTATGTCTTACATTTTATGTCTAGCCTGAGGCCATTCTTGTGCCTCTTTCTAGTTTGAATATAAGGTATATATGAATTTGTGATGTTTTTGCTTTTCCTTTCATTTTAAAATTCTTTGACATTTCTGTGACAAAGTATGATTCATAATGAATACTAGCTCCTTTGCCTTTGTTTATGTTTCATTTTCAAATGGTTTTCTAATCTTTGAATTTAAATTGAAGTAATTTCTGTGGTCCTCTGATAACAAATGTGAATGTTGGGACGGGGGTGCCATTTGTGGAGGTATGCACTGTATTTACCTGCATACAGTCTTGTTTTGTTTGACTAAAAAGTTGATTATATCATTTAGATCACATTTTACTGACTGTAGTAATTCAAGATGAATAACCTTAGCTGAAGGTAGGACCCGACCTAAAGATCCTGTCGGCGAGAGCAACAAAGTGAAATATTACTCTGCACCCTGATCTCAGCTCTCGTTTCGGGAGCTAACGCTAGCTAGCAGTTGTCAGCAGATAACACAAACACCGCGGATGAATCAGTCGCTGTCCTGTCTGTGCTCAAACTGAACACTAAGGTGGATGTTTGGACGTATTTGAAGAATCCACTACTCTGTGTAGCTGTAAGGGATAGTATTTTTTTTATTACATAACTTATAGATGCATGTAGTGTATATCTCTATGATTGATATTTACTGTAATGCTTTAAACATGGCACATTTACCCAGAATTCAACATGGCATCTGTCTATGCATATGGAACTGTTGCTCTACTTGTTTATATACATGATGATGGTCAAGCAGACCAAAATGTCATAAATGAATAAATTGGTGAGACAGTCTGAATGGGTTTTTAGATGTGCTTTCCCTTATACATATTCTCATGAGCAGAGGTTTTCTAGATGTGGCAGGAATTGTATGACTGTGAAATCTCCACCTGTTCACTTTGCATCATTTGTGGCTGTCACATTCATTTCTATGTAAAGAGTCTGTCTGGTAATAATTCCATCTTGGGTATTCAGCAAAATCACATTGACAGAAAATTGCTACAAGATTTGGATCAAATATAATTACACTGGTTATTGAAAAGGCCTTGATAGACCAATCAGGAGTCGCTCTGCTTCAGTTGACCCCGACAAGCATAAACACTTCTAAAACTTTCTGCTCAGTGGAGAACTAATTTTGCTAGTTTGGATGATTACCCTGCCTGGAGAGTTACTGCTACACTTGAATTTTTTCCCCTCACACAGATTTATGAACAGAAAAAAAAAGGCACAAGAAAGGGTCTGGTTTCTAGCACTGTAGTTATTTTTGTTTTCTGCTTTCATGTGTGTGCAGGAAACACACTGCACCTTTGTTTTATTGAGAAATGTGAAAACTCAAAATCGAGACTTTCTGAAATTAAGAAGTGCTTCCGTTTCTCTCAGTGTGAAACCTAGGAAAGGCAGTGCAGGCCACAAGCATAGGCTTGAAGCAGGTGCTCATGGGAAATGTAGGCTCTGCTCAGCCCTCCAATCAACACCTGTGTGTGGATCTGATGGACACACCTACTCCTCCAAGGTCAGATATCCATTTCCCATTATCTCTTTTGAAATTTCAAACATTTCTTCCTCCCTCTTTATACCTCTCTCACTCTGTGTGCCATTTTCTGCTTTTGTTTCTCAGTGAGCATCATTCATCAATTCAGTTTGTTTTCAAACATAAAAGAAAAGGCAGGATTGCTTCGAGATATACAACAGCACTTGAAGAGTTTTTGGAATATGTAATTTGTGGTGTAAACATTTGAGATGATCTGTAGTTTTTATTCTTCAGCTGCCTATCTGAGTCTATAGCTCCAGTTCTAGCCACTCATTATTTAGTTACACATAGCTCAAAATGTCATGATAAAGGAAAAAGAAAGGAAATGTGTAAGCTTCATGTTTTGCCAGAAAGGAAATGAACAGCAGAGGACCTGGGTGAGGAGCAGAAGAGTGGAATCAGGTGGTAGTAAAAATGCATATAGCAATTAAGTGAACAGAACTCGTGACAAGAATACTGGCAAAGAAGCTATGAGCTTCCAGGGCACCTGTCACTTGCTAAGTATTATTTAATAAGTGCAGTGTTTTAATCACAGAGGCTCCTAAACATATTATAGTGTGTGAATAGAGAGGATTGGTAAAAGCAAAACCGATAACAGAAGTAGTTCAAATGAAGTTGTTGTCCATCCACACATCACCTCAGCTCTGCAGGAAATAAACTGACCTCCAGATGTTTGTTGATAATGTTGTTTTCAGTTTGAACAAAGGGTTAAGTCTCCAACACAGAAGTATGAAACAACATAAAATTGGGAGTTTCACTTCCTCACGGAGGAGGTCGGGACATGGACCTGCCTAATAACGATCCTGTCTTTGAGCTGGGGCTGTGCTGAGGAGGAGAAGTGAGAGACAAGGATAGAGGAAGAACAAAAGGAGGCCGAGGGCTGGAGAGTCCCTCTGTTCTCTGCGGTAATTTAGTTGGAGGGGTTCAGTTAGCTGGTGGAGTGATGGGTCCCTGTGGCCCAACTTAAACTCTGCTCACCAGTGAGCTGCTGGTCTGAAGCTTATTCATGTTTTATTATTACATTACATGCCTCCCTAATCGTAACCACACACACCTACAGCCTCACTCACACACACACTTGGTAACAGTGCTCTTATCTCCTGAGAGGCCTCAGTCCTCCAAGTTAAGTCCATTACTTCACTCCTCTTAAATTATCTCCTCTCCTCTCCTCTCCTCTCCTCTCCTCTCCTCTCCTCTCCTCTCCTCTCCTCTATTTGTACTCCACCAAGTCAGGTGTTAAAGCACTGTTTCATTAAAACCACATTAACCCCTGGAGAGAAACAAACATAAAGATTCATGGGACCTCTCTGTGTGCTGACAGTGAGTGGGGGAGGTCATCCATTTCCTAGGCTTTCTCTCCTTCTCTCCCCCCATCTCCCTCCCCAGAAAGCTAATTTGATATGTTGAGAACATAACAGATTGGTGTTCCTTTGTCAACAAATTTCATTAAACAACATTAGCAGCACTATCAGAGAGGTGACAGAGGAAATGATGGATTTGAATTGGAATATGAGAAATGAAAGTTTCTCCAGGATAAGACAAAGCCTGTGTGTGGTGCATTATATGTAGAGATGTTTATGCATAGTCATGGTCTCACCATGACAAAACTTGTTGTCATCATCTCACAAAACAGAATTTACATAACTCATTTCAGTTTTCATTATTCCTCTTGGAAGGATCTTGTAATTGGATTCTTCCCTGCACCAGTCCAAATAATTTTTTACCCCTCATTTACCTGAAATTAGATTTATACTGTTAAATTACATTCTGAAGTAGTCCATCTTGCTTTTTTGCATTGTATTAGGTTTGTACAGTGAATAATAAAATGTCACTGGGCATCTCTGCATCTAATGGTGTCCACAACCCTGCCTATACATTCATCAAAGATAAATGACCAATCCTGTCTCAGCAAAATGTTTCCTTAATCAACTTGACAAAGAAATTTTAATATTCAAGTTACAAAACACTGGAAACGAAACTTCCCTTAATGCTGTTTAATACTTCTTCTTCATTAAATCCTTCATAGCTTTGTTACTGGTTTCCAAACTCCACATATATTTGTAGATAGTTGTTTTGACATATCCCAGCTTCTAATTAGGTCAGGTGCAAGATAATAGTTTGAGTGCAGAAAACATGCAGTATTTTGATCTGGAATACCCAGTGGTGTTGAAATGTTGCCTCTTTCCACTCCAACACAGTTCTGGGAGATTTAAATCACCTACTGTGTGCAGTCCATTTTTTCAATTATTTTTAATCTCCAAACCCAAGATAACCATGAAATATCACCTGGTTGTTTTCTTAGACTCTAGAGAGCACTTCCAGAGCCAGTGTGAAATCAAGGGAGTCTGTGGAATTAGGCATCTAATACTTGTTTTTTTATTTTTACAGTGTAAGTTGGAGTTTCAGAGCTGCCTATCTGGAAAGACAATCTCAGTAAAATGCGATGGGCTGTGTCCCTGCTTGCCCAATCAGGAGCTTAACAAACCACCCCGCAAGACTGACATGGCTGGTGAGTACAGTGCTGACACTTTCTGTTGAGATAAATAAACTGGTGAGTAGATAGCTGGGCATCCATCATTCTGGAGATCCATCATTCTGACTACAAGCAATACCAACTTCACAGATTTTAGATTTAATTGCTTGTTATTTAGGCAGATTCTCTGCCCTGTTGTGAGCTCATCAATCAGTAAAGATACAATATAAGCTAAACTCAAACCTCTAATATATATATGTACATATTTATAAGTGGAAAGGCCAGAAAAAGGGATGAATGTTCAGAAGGAGAAAGGTTCTAGATATTTTAGGGATTGTTGAGTTGAGGTGGATTCCTTAGAACCACACTGCTACACACACACACACACACACACACACACACACACACACACACACACACACACACACACTTGTACTTCTATCTTTGTAAGGACATTCATTGACATAATGCATTCCCTAGCCCCTAACCCTGACCTTAACCATTCAAATTAAATGCCTAACCATAACCCTAACACCTAACCTGAACCCTAAAACCAAGTTTTAACCCTCCAAAAGGTGTTTCAGAAAGAAAGGACCATCCAAAATGTCCTCACTTTACAATAATATCCTCATTTTGTAATGAAAAAAAATACTTTTTGGTCCTCACTATATAGCAAGCACAAGAACACACACACACACACAAAACCCCTTCCACTGATAATCCTTCAAATTCTCCAGTGATTCAGGAGGTTTCCATCCCTTTCCTTATACCTCTCCCTTTATCATGATATTTTCTTAACCTCCCTCCCCATCACCCCCCACCCCCACCTGACAGCTACAGGGTACAGTGATGGAGTGACTGTATGTGTGTCTTATTGTTTGAAATGAAAATATGATTTCAGAAGATGAATGGAGAGATTCTGGATGAGAAATGCAATCTAAAGGAAAGCAGCACAGAAAAGGATGGATTGTTACAGTTGCAGGCTTCCTCTCTCCCAAATGGGGGAGTAGTGGGATGGTTTGACTTTGTGTGTGCGTGTCACATGAAGGGGACTTGGTTAAGTTTAGGTTTGGGTCGAGGGTAAGGGTTAGGCAAGTAGTGGTTACAATTAGGGTTAGGGAAAGTTTCCAGGAAAATAATATAAATCAAAGTTCCCATAAGGAATGAAAACAAATATGTGCGTGTGTTTGTAGTCTATCAATTTATCTATCAATCTATTGTCTGACTATAGATGGAATAATAATTGTGGTCATGCTTCTACCCCTCATACTTGCATATAACACATAGAAAATCACACATACAGTATTCATCCCTCCAAGGTCTTTTCAAGTCACTCACTGATTAGGAAGCATTTCCAAAGATCCCGAGGTTCATCTGGCACATTTAATTCAAAAGGAAAGTGTCTGCTAATTAATGAAAGCTTTCTCTTTATCTCACACTCTCCTTCATTAGTTTAAGGCTGAATGATGGAGGGAACACAAAGTAATGTTGTAATGGAGAAGTGTTTTACCAACTCAACTACTGCCTAATTAATGCCCCTCCATCTTTGCTCAGCAGAAAGTATAGCTGTGTGTTTAGTCTGCTGAGAGCTTTGCTCTGGGAGTAAACAGTGAATGAGTTTGTGTGAAGACAGAGGAAGTCTATTTCCTGAGCTTGGACAGCACCAACATGCAACATTGCACTCATTTTCATTGTCAGGCTTCTTGCTTTCTGTTTAGTCTTTCCTCCTGTAGCTATTCCTGACTTCACGCTTTCTCACTGGCTTCTGTGTCTTCTGATGAATGTCACTGTACTTTTCGTTACAGCCAGTCCTCAGACCGTCCATGAGATAGCAGGTGCAAATGTTTGTGCATTCAGAGGTAGAGGGATGAATGAAATGCGTGTTTGTGTTTCTCCCAGCCTGATAAAATCTCTCATTAAATATTCAACACAAAATGGTAAACAGATGGAGATGACAGTAGGTGAGGAAAATACTGTATGTGTGTCAGATTGTGTTCCTATGGTAACTTTTAAAAGATCACAGCAGTTCGGTGTGTGTGATCGCTCATTGGTGTTTACTAAAAATCACAGGTTCAAACTCGGTTTTAACATTGCTGTCCAGCTGGTAAACATCTCAGTTCACACAACACCTGCATTTCCAAATGTTGTTCCATAAGCATCTCTTTTACAGTGAACAGGGTTTTCTGTTGCTCTGTTGCTTTTACATTAGAGATTCAGACACTGGAGCACTTAGGGATGGGACACTAGGAAATGTAACTATATATTCTATACAGATACTATATTTTTTTGTGAAGTACCATTAACATTGAATTAATGGGTCCAAACACAGTTGTGAATACTGGTAAAAAAAATGTACCATTCATTGTTTCTGATCACATGCATCTTATATTATACTTTGAAAGGCCTGAATTTAAGAGCCTGATCCCTGCAGAAGTTTTTGGTTGAAATTAGAGGAAATACAGCTTTAAATACTGGGGAAAGGCAAACGCAGTGGACAGCATAAGTTGTACAGTTCAGAAAGTTCACATTTCTTTATGCTTTTGTAAAACAGGTGATTTTATATTTAAAAATGTGGTTTGACATATTTCAAGATGTATTTTGGTTGCAATTAAAATATTCCCAGTCACCTCACAAAACTTCACCTTCGTCATGCTTGACTTATTATTATTATTTTTATTATTATTATGAAAGGTGCATGAAAGAGGATAGTTGGATTTAAATAAAAAGAACAGGAAGTGGAAATATTCAGTAAAATGTGTGTGTGAATGTGAGCGTTGTGCAGAGGGCAAATGAGGTAAGAAGAAATAAGCTCGACAGGCAAGCGACATAAAGTACTGTAGCAGTGAGCTAGCTTAAACCAAGCCAAAGTAAGAGGAGGTTTTTTAAGACATAAATACATACTCAATTGGCAGTTTATTATGTACAGCAAGTGAAAACTAATACAGTCTAACAGTGCAATAATAAATCCCCGCTTCATGAAGGCGATAAACTTTTAAAGGGGCGTTGTTTCGACTGTGCGATCATTTTGGACTATGTAGATTTATTGCTTTATATAAACAGGTGTTTATATTATATTCTGCAGCCCATTTATATCAGTGAGGCCAGCCTAAATACCAAAAACACCTTTCTGTATAATGCAGTAGAGTCAACAGTCTATTTAGATAAGTTTCAATATTAAGCCCATTTTAACAGCAGTGACACAGTACAAGATACTGCAATCATTCACGCACAAGGTGAAAAAATGAATCATTTTTTACACTTAATTATAATTACGTCAACACTAAATTATAAAGAGTGCTAAAACGCTGCTCCCTGGTAAAATATTTTTTACACCCTAATCAGTGAATTCGTTATTCTGAATGAAAGCACCTGTTGTGTTCGCTCTGATTAGAGTGTGGCCAAGTCTATGTTAGAAACCACTCTCTCACTCATTCAGTCCTTATTTAACAGGCCCTCACTAGTTTACTCTATAGTACCTGGTCAATTTAGACTTTGGAAACTTCAGTCAGTGTAGTTTTAGACACTACTGTACTTTTCACTTCAGTAAAATGTGAAGTGTTGCATCTTGGGGTTGTTAACAAGAAGTAGTGTACTGTATGGGCATAGACACTACTTTTTTATCATATTGTTGGGATTTCTTTGGGTGGGGGGCCATGATATTGTGCATAAAATTCACACAGAAACCAAAACACTAAAAATTATATAGGGTAAATCTAGCAGTTATATATTGATTAATTGATTTTACACACAGCCCAGTTGTAAATCATGATTTAAAAACAAAAGGTGTGCAGGTTTACTTCTGAAGGTATTTATTTGAATTTTGGTTTACCATTGTACAGTTCTGATAAAAATGTTCACTGACATTATTTAAACTGCAGGTTGGTTTTATTGAGACCTACAAATATCTGGTGAAGCCTTGGAGACTAAGCCAAGTTGATGAGATGTTGCTCATATTAATTTTTTGAAATAAAGGCAAAAAAAATGTTTGTGAGAAAGGAAACGAGTGGCTGCAGTTAATTTGTATTTAATGCGGTCCACCACTGTGTGTCAAATAAAGCACTGATTTCACAGATTCAACACAGACAGTAAGTGTGTGCTGCAGTGTGCTTTATCTGGAGTGCAGGGCAACTACTGTTTCTTATTTGACAAGGCAGATTAGCAGATTGGAAGGCGTTAGTAATCACATTTTTGCTTGAACCACGCTAACAATTATTTTTCATTGACCATTTGTGGGTGTGTGGGGAACATGTCAGTGCGTGTTTGTCAGTCTCTCTGTTGTTTATTTACTTTCTGTCTCTAGCCTCCACATCATTTCATCAGTGTTGAGTTAAAGGTCCATCTCCACTTTTTGTCTTTTCTGTCTTTTTATTCATTATTCAAAAGACTGTGAAGCAGATGCATCTTTGAATAATGCAAAGAGATGAACCCTTAGCTGTTGACACTGGGTCAAACTGGTGTCTGCTCAACACACAGATTCTACAGTCTTATTCTACCCCACAAAAGCAGAAGAAAAAAACTGTCTGGAGCTGAGTTATTAGAAAAAATGGCAATAATTATAAGTTAACTGTACATGTTAATTGCTCATTTTTCTGTAATCTTTACTTTAATGACTAATTATGATGTTTCCTAATGAACGCAAAGCTCATCTGCTCAGGAATCCACTGCCATTTGCCTGTTTGTCAGCAAAGGTTAATGCACTGACACAGAGCAAATGAGATCTAATCTGACCCATCATCCACCCCTGAGGTACTGCTGTGACACTGACCATCATCACTCTCCTATAAAACAATGACTCGAGTTGACACAAAGCCAGTCTGTTGATGATCATGTGTAAAAGCCTAAGTCAGCACCAGTTATGGTCAACAGGATTTTTTTTTTTTTTACTGAATTTCAGCTCCTGTTGAACAAAAATATTGACAAAACAAAGTGAGCTGTTAGAGGCTGAATAGGCCAAATCTCTTTTCTACATTTAATTTTCCTGGCATTTCTGTTTCACAGCTCTACAGAGAGCACACAGTAGGTCAGATTGTGCTCTC